GTCGGCGACGTCAAACGCTAAATGTTTGAATGAAAATCACATGAAAAATGATTTCATAGTTTAAGTTTAACTATAACTGGATCACAACAATGATAGACAAACAAGTGGGTGTCTGCTATTATCGCTCTCTTTCTCTGTACGTATAGTTTTTCTTTAAAGCCTCGGGCTAGTGCTTGCAACTTTCTCGAACAATGTATTCTTTTTCTCATTTTTTTTTTTCAACAAAAAAAGAAAGCAAAATAATAGCGAAAATAAGAAGAAGACGAACGTTGTGCATTTTTTCCACCAACTCTATGACGGAATTACACCGTCCGTTCAAGATGTGTAAAAAGGATAAAATGACGATGGTCATGTGGTTTTCAGTGGTGAGCACCGAGGAACGGAGTTTGGATCCATTTCACTTGTCTCTTGCAACGAGCTCACACAACAATAAAGATAACGACGTTGATGACTTTGAAATAAGACGAATTTGCGACGAAGAAAAATGTGCATTAAAATGACACAAAGTAAGGGAGAGTGAGTGAGTTATAGAGAGAGTGGGAGAGAGAGAGAAAATGAAGTAAAATGAGAGAAAATCAGCGCAAATTAAAAAATCTAAGGGACATGACAAATGGGTATGACGCTTGAAATGAGCCAAGTGAAACACTAGAATTGCCAATTCCCTTAATTCAGTTCAGCGAAAATTCATTGTTTCAGCTGAAGCGAGAGGGAAAAAAACACACGCAATGCAAATGTTTGTATAAAATTATATCAAACGCGTCAGAGAGAAAAAAACGCTTAAAATTAATGAATTTAATGTTTTTTTTTTACATAAAAAATCCAGCTGGAAATGGAATTTGTTTGTTTTATGTTCTTTTTTGATTAGGGAATACAAATAACGGCATCAGATGAATGGTCCACCCAAAAAAAGCGAAATGAATAATTTGTCGGATAATTAAAGATCTCCCTCTTTTTTTTAAATACTAAATTCTTGAATAGTTTATCACCTGAAAAGAGTAAAGAGCAGAAATTGATTTTCCGTTAGCGTGTGGAAGTGTCGGAAATAATTTCATCCACTCACACATCCTACGGCAAAGTGAATTTATGGTTGAAGCAAGTATGGTTTCAAGCGCATCGTTCCTGTTCTGTATTTTTTTTTCAATAGTTCAATTTTAAATGGAGCGCAGAAATGATTACTTCGTTTTTTTCGTTTAGATATAGTTAGAGACGTTTTTTCCTCGTTCTCTCCATTTTTCCTTGCCGTCAAGATTTTGCTTGTAATGCTCTTGCCACGTGTATCACGGTATTTCGTGTAACGATTTTATGTTTCGAATAAGAAAAATCCTTCAAAAATTGCTTCCAATTTTTAAGCGTCCAATGAATTTGTTATGTTTCGAAAGAATACAATGAAGTTACTGTTTCTCTCATACAAGTAAAGGGTCGCCTGTATGATATATTTGAGCATGTTTGAATTTAAGATTAACATCGAAGTGTGCAGAATACCTAAGCTTTGAGCTATCTTTTATCCGTCGCTTTTTCTTGATGCAGTAGATTCGGGCTGTAAGTAAATGCTGGAATGTGATATCACAATTTATGGGCTCGTGCAAAAATTTAGATGTTTCGATTGATTTATCATAGTGATAGGGCATATAATTTCCAATTGGATTGTGTGCACCATTTTTGCCGCAAACTGTAAACCATATTGTCTGTCTGGGCTTAAAAAATGTTCAACTTTAGTTGGTGACTCTCCAGTTTTAAAGACAATAAGTCGTTGTTTGAGTTTGACATTTGAATTTTTCGCCATAGCCTGAGCTTAGCAGTTTTTCTTCTCTCTCGTTTTTTTTTTGTTTTTTCAACGAGAAGAAGAAAAACAAACAAAGTCGAAAAAATGGAGGAAACATTCATGATGACTTTTCGATGTTTTTAAGGTGTAAAAAGGGACACTCACTTTACTTGTCAAAATATTCATCGCATTGATATGCATACATTGCTACTCTACCATAGAGTACATATAGAGCATGGGGAATAAAGAAAAGTTGACTCAAGTGTGAGCGTTTTCCATGCCACAACACTCAAAGCTCACTTCGAAATGCCTTTAATGCCAGTCTGTACAAAAAAAATGAACCAATAAAACCTAAATAAATATTAAGAAATTGGGGCCATTCTACTCGGCCAGAATTCATTTGCATACCATGACCACATTTTCGGTGTTCGTTATTTCATTTGAACACGTCATATGAATCACAATGAAGAGAATACCGACCCAAATGTAATCTAAAATTCGAAGATACACGATACACAATTTGACATTGACATCAGCATACGTATTATGCATGACACACACAGAGAGAGAGACGTTGAAGTGATTAATTTTCATTTCAATGGGTTGGATCAAAGTTGAGTAAACCAAAAATCTTTTAATCAAATTAAAGTCCATCGTCGACAACAACCTATTCCAGTCGGTGATGCCAAATTTTTTTTAAATAAATAACAGCAAATTGTATAGTGAAATACTTGAGCTGCTTTCCCATGCCGCAAAATATTGCGATTTTGCCAACGAGAAGAGCTAACTATGCCATTCACAATACCTAAGAACTATTTTTTACCACAAGAATTACAAGTATTGAGACATGACATGGTAATAAAATGCCTGGAATTATTGAGATACAGTGAATGCTGTTTTATCGTCTATTCTCTCGGCAGAGAGAAACGTGAATGGAATAATTACGGTTGGTATGCATTCGCCGCCACAAAAACATGAAACTAATCCAAACAACGACCATATTAAATGTCAATAACTACAACGTTTCAGTGCAATCAGTCTTGCGGATACATGTACACTGCATTTGTTCCATACACGATCTCATTATCACACCGAATTGAACGGCAATTACAAAATAAAGCCACAAACTCACGCCATCGCACACCAAATAAACGTTCATTGCGAAAATATTTTAACGGGAAAATACACGATCCATTAAACGAATACGCGGTGTGAATACGGCGAAAACTGAATGACACATAGATAGAAACATACAGAGAGATAGAGGAAGACAAAAGTGAATAAATTCAAGTGGAAAATTTGAATAGCTAAAATCCGAAACGAACATCGAGTGCAAGAATTTTGAGATGGAAATTTATTTGAATATCATCGTCAAACATCATGAATTGCTCATCGCATTTGGAAAAGTCATTTGAGCGAGCCGTATCAAGGACTTATGCCACTTTTATTCAGCCAATGTTCAATGTTTGGCGTTCTTGATTGGAAACGAACTTTACACTCGCTAGGTCCCCATCTCTCTCTTTCCCTATCTCCCTTCATCTTTTTTGGCATATAAACAAAGCTTCAAAAAAACTATGCAAATCGGCGCGGATAAAGTTATAAAATGATGGCCTAGTAATAGGTGTTCACATTGAAAATCTCGTATGTCAATCAACTGCAATAACATGAAGCTTCTTGCCTAATTTCAGTTTTATTAGATATTTGCCGCTCTATTTAAACACATACAGACACATACACACACTCATACACAAACGAGACGAACGAGTATGTGCTTCGGATGCATGGAGTGAGCGAACATAAATACATACTCAAACCGTAAATGATGCAGGCACATTACATTTCAGAGTTTATTGTTGTTATATCGTTGTTGTACTGAAGACGGATATGTTTATAGAAAGAGAAGAAAAGCGAACGGGTTCGGTTGAAACGCTTGAATTCAGCACAGAGTGAATGCGTACGGTTTCGAAGTGAAAATAAACAACCGCATCATCATTAGCTCTATGGTTTTTTGATATTCTATTCTCACTGTACGACACCGAACCGAAAACCAACGAATTCTATTCGAGTGCAACATTTTGAATTGAAACAGTGAGCATTTAAAGAATAGCTATTAAAATTGTCTAAAGAGAACGGATCCACTTAATTTTTCCTTTCCGCTTCGATTCGACTCCTTAAATATTCACGCCATACGTGCAATGGAATCTAATGTGTACGTGGCGCTACTTTCTTTACGGTATTTAACTTTTGTACTACAAAACTTCTTGTTTTGTTGAGACTGCGGTCACAATCTGTTAAAGTCTGGCACGTGTTGAACTTTGTCGTAAAAAGAAACTATACAGCGCCAACCAAACTTATCGGGTGCGTACTTACCTACTGCGTCTAGCTGTCTGCTTGGATTTTCGTATAATCATCGAATTTTAAATTATATATCGAAAAAGCTGTTCAAAATTACATTTCGTACTCGTAATTTATGCTCAGTTCTGCATTGAAATGAAGCGTAATGAGAATAATTCCTCCAAACTATCTGAATAATGATGTTTCCAAGTAGAGAGTATGGGTGTTTCAAACGTCGGGCACGACATTCAACCGGAAGTTGGTAGAGAATAGACACGCGAACTGATAAAGCGTAATGATTGCGATAAGGAAATGGAACGTACAGAACGCAAAACGACCAACGGAATTGAAAATGTTCCATTTACAGAGCAATTTAGAAATGAATTCAGTAAAATTTGCGGTCCAGCACTGGCAATATCTTAATTTTCTTCCCAGCGCACAACTGATTAATGCGTCGCCCAAAATCCATTTATTTTCAAAATGTCACTTTCAAAACACCTTCCACCACAAAATTATCATTTGATACGATATTTCGTGGGAGAACTGCACTGCACAGATTTCAAAATATACACAAACAAACACACACATACACACACACACACACACACCACTTAATTTCGTATAAAACTTTAAAGTGAATTACATTCCGTTTATTTGATTAAAATTTCAGGCGATTTTCATGGAAACGTTTTAACCAATAGAGAGAGATTCTGAGAGGAAGTGGTGAATAAGTCTGTTGGTGAATGAAAGAAAACTGCCAAGTTTGATAGAAAGAAATTTTGACTGAATTTCGAGTGGGAGTAGAGAGAAAGAGTTAGAAAACGGTAACAGTGCATTCGCACATGATTGTGTTATTTAAATGAACAAACGGCGATTGAAATAAATATTGAAAATTCCAAAACAGCTGGAGTCACTTCGTCGACAGTCCCGCTTCATAGCGGCGCAGCGAGAGCGAAAAGTCAAGGTAAGGTGACGAGAGTTGGGTGAAAAAAGAAAAAGTTCAGTGAAAATAGAGAGAAAAAAAACGAAGAAAGAAACAAATAGGAGATGAAAGCGACCTTTAATGACTGATTAGTGTTGGATATTCCATTGGATAAAGGCGATCTCATGCGTATCATTAACTAATAGTCATTTACGTAATTAAATCGGTTAGTGTGAGGCTTTGATGGTGTGCGTCTAGTAAGGTCAAGAATGAACGAACGAACGTCAAAAAAAAATTGGATATGTAATTGGATCTTAAGTGCTCATCTTTCTCCGCATGATTTAATAAAAATAATGGAACAAAACGCCGTCTCTTGGCTAAGCCTATAATATTTTCGCGTTATGTCAAAATGGTTTTTCATCTTCGGGTTTCCATTAAATGCTGTCGATATTTTGACCTTCGAGTGATTATCCAATTCAACAAATTGCTATATATTTAACGAACATCGTCAATGCAAAAACGCTCACCGTAAACGACGCAAAGAGAGAGAGAGAGAGACCGTCCATTTTATTTTTTCCATTCAACATTGCTTCCGTAATCGATGCTAATTAATTTAAAATGGAGAGTCGTATCTAATGCAACTTCTTGCCAAGCCATCACAGTTCGCTCTCTTTCGATTCAACGTTTAGTTTCACAGCCGTAATAATTTATTTCTGGTTTTATTCTATCTTGCACTCACTTCGAACACTGCACATAGTTCTCGCAATGGAAGGCCGATGGCCAGAGCATATCAACAGGAGGTAAGAGTTTCATATCGTTATTATAATGTCGTGTTATTACCGACACAGCAATTGATGCGATGTATTTCATCATTCACCACCACCAACCGTACACATACACACGCATCCATACTACACTCACTCGCCCACAGACACCGGGTGTGTTGTGTGTTTGTGTCCATTTTATATGAATGATACGCTTTCGAAAGAATTGTATCCGCCACAGGACAAATGTTACCAATTATACATTTTATCCTGGACCGTTTGCTATAGACTACTATCAAGCATTTCCATCTTGGTTGTATGACTGTTTTCGTTTTCATGTTCCTACTATTGTGAATACCGCATGATGTACGAAAAGAGCCAGGTTTTTAACGAGGCGAGATTGAAAGTTATGGAAAATTAGTGCTACAATTGTTTATTTTTTTAAATATGTAACAGTCTTGCACTCTTTTCCGGCCAAACCTTAATCAAAACCCATATTATATTCAGCCAAAGTTTGGCGGTGTTTAATAAAATAAAATAAAATATATGTCGTATATACATTTAATTAAAAACAATAGCATGTCATATGTCAGATTGGCTTATCACTTACATTTTATGGATTTGCCTGTCACAAACATTTGCGTTGGCCGTAAAAATGTGATCCTTGTTCAAATTATGTGCACACAAATTGATGCCCGAATGAAAAAAAAAAAATGTTCGCTCATTTTTTACTCTCCCATATTTCGTTCGGCCTCATTGAGAGATAATTTGACATATTTGGTTGTTTATTTATATAAGACGGGTGTCGATTTCAGATTTCGATAGGTAATTTATAATCAAATTCCCTACTTTTTTCCTCTCTCTCTCTCTCTTCCACAGAAAACGAAGAAGACACTCTACACAATCAAGTGGATCAGGACTCGAGTACCATTTTAAATGAATGCAAAAGGGATGCGAGCAAACGAAGACCATCACTGGCCCAAAAAATGACATCGAATTTGCGGCGCCTTTCGGGCGCAACCGAACTCAAAATTGATATCAACGATTCCATAACGGCAAATAACCCGAAATATAATAAAAAAATAAAGGTAAGTAAACACAATCATCGCGCGACGCACATAACCATACACAATAAAATGATGCAAACTCGTGTGAAGATATTTGGGTAAACTGAAACCAAAATGTCAACCCGAACCGGAATGTGTCATGCCATTCATTAGACGATTTCTGCAGAAATATTATTCAAAGAAAACAAATGAGAGAGGCAGTGAGCGAGCAAGCGCGCACGCCAAGCGACAACACCCTTTGTTATCAATTCAGTGGTTTGCTTTGGTGTCGTATCGCGTATCGCGCTCACACAGTAATCAATTGGATCCACAATACTCATATACATACTCTCAAATATACACATGTAATTGCATATCGGCGAAGACAAGACATCATCAACACCGATGATATCAACCGTAACAAAGAAAATGGATCAAATCCATTAAAGCATTTTCCATATCCACATCATTACAGTTATGACTATTTATTATTTGGCGTGTGACACTTTACTTCTCTTTCAATAGATAATGCTATCGAATCGTGTACACACACACATGCTGTGTATGTGTACTTGTATGGGTGTATCTATATATCCATTTATTTGAATATCGATCATGTGTACGCTTCGCAGCATTATTATTTGCAATTTCGCTTTCGTCCGTTCATCCTTCCATTCTTCTTCTTCTTCTTCTTCTTCTTCTTCTTCTTCTTCTTCTTCTATTTTTTTTGTCATCGTTATTTAGTGTGTGCTCTACTTGCACACAACCTTTGACTCTTTACTTTGCCTCTTCCTATCAACACATTCACTACCACTACCACCACCATTGCTCCTCATACATTTCTTGTATCTGATTACATCGATGTTCCCACATTCAATTTGTCTCTGCCGTTCATTTTGTTGTTGTTGTGTTCATTCTCGTATTTTCCTCTTTCAAATTTTCTAATTCACTTGGTTTTTCTTTTTGATTGGGTCATGTTATGTGCAGCGACACAGTATTCATGGCATGATGGAAGAGGAAAACGTAATTCGTCCACATCAAGAGATCCAAGGTTTAACCTATGAAGAGAAAAAGTTTCTGCTGGCGGTGGAACGAGGCGACGTTGCCGGTACCAGAAGGTAATGCACTGCTTATGTCATTCACATGTAGAACAGGATAGATTGAGTCGATGTGTGTGTGTTGTCCAGCACACATAATGAACAAGCTACACGAATATCTTCCGAATGACTTTAACCAATCACGCCCAAAGAACCTGAACGAAATGCTTTTTTTGTGTGCAAAAACTAAAAGTTTCGATAGTTAAGTTGTTCATTAGATTGTTTATCTTCATTCAGAAAATGTTTCTTTAGCACATTTTCGACACTAATTTTTGTCCATTTATTGACATCAAAGATGTAATTGAATTTTATTGTGAATGCATGTTCAAGTTTTGCTGTTATTTTTCCAACAACAAGACAAAAATTAACACATTGAACTTCGGTTTTCTACAGGATACTCCAAGAAAAGGAAACCAAGAATGATAATGATGAATTCAATATAAATTGCGTGGACCCGCTGGGGCGGTCAGCACTTTTGATGGCAATCGACAACGAAAACTTGGACATGGTCGAACTACTCATCAATAGCAATGTGGATACTAAGGATGCATTGTTACATGCCATTTCCGAAGAGTTTGTCGAAGCAGTCGAAATGCTCCTCGACCAGGAAGATTTAAGTCAACAAAAAGAAGGACAACGCGTACGTACATTTTTGTTACTCCAGTTCTCTCCATTAATACGTGTAATGAAACATTGTTCAAATTTGTTCCGGAGAGAAAGCACATTCGAACGGATGTTCCATTCAAAACGGATCGATTTATTTTTGGGGTTTTCAACCACTCGAATCCGGGATCGAATTATCAATGGGATTTTTTGTGTGGTATTGTAAGAGATATATACTATCAATGATGCTCGATTGCAACGGGAAGTCATTATGGAGAATATCAAAATGGTGTATCGCAATTTTCAACAGCATGTGAACATATGAGGCTGTGAGAATGAAAATGGCAATACAGGAATAAACATTCTGAAACACATCGAGAAAAAAAATGCGCAAAAATGAATCATGAGTTCTGAATATGCAAAAGTGAAACATGAATTTACATGGGCAGCATAGGAGGTTCATGGTTCACTTTTGCGTATTCAGAACTCATGATTCATTTTTGCGAATTTTTTTTCTTGATGCGCTTCAGAATGTTCATTCCTGTATTGCCATTTTCATTCTCACAGCCTCATATACGCTATGTACAAGTACATATAGCTACTCGACTATATCCAGCGCACCTGAGGCGTATAATATGATTCAATTGAAAATTATAATTCACTCAAATTATGAAATAATCATTTATGTAATCTGAACATGGTAAAGTTTTGCAACATGATTCTCGAGACGGTTTAAGATCATATCAATGAATGATACTCGATAAGTGATTGCAACATTTCAATAAAATACTCATACCGTAATCGAAATTAACTAATTAGAAGCATCAATCAGTCTGTTATTTTGTTTGCTCAGAACAAATTATTTGATCCATGCAAATCACACCCACAAGCACTTGAATATTGCTATCACTCATAACTATATAGTTGCAAACATACTGAAATCGATAGGTTCGTATACACATTGTAGTACACAGTTCGTACAGTGAACGTACGTACAATATTTAATGCGCAATAAATATAAAGAAAATTCGAATTAGATCTGAAGCATGGAAAATTTGCATGAAAATTGAAAATTCTTGTTCGATTCACACGCCCATGTTTTCTAACGCATCCATCATTCAAATGAATTGAAATCGAAGTGAAATAGCAAATCAAAACACAGTGAAACAAAAAAAACTGGGGTAAAAATCATTGAATAAATGAACTTTCCGATTTATTCGTCAGACATTCCTGTCCCGTCCGTCGTATTATTTACATGTTTATACTCTGTCATATTTACACCATGTCACTGATATTTTTGTTGATCTCTGGCAAACAGTTTCCAGCGCGCACGGCATACATGGAAATCGATGAATTTAATGAAAACAATTTGTTTGTTTTTCGTTTTCTCTGTTTGCCTCCATAAATTGAATGAATTTCGTTTTCAAAAATTCTATTAAAAGCATGCACACGTATATGCTTGCCATCGAATGAAATGAAAACAGATTAAGGCGAGCGCACAAAGCGAAATGGATTGCAAACGGGCATTTCCTGAACAATTTAACTTTCATCACCATTAGACTGCTTCAAAAAAAAAAAGTTGTCCCTCATCTGAAATGTCCGGCCAGTTTCGAAAAATATGCCTCAAAAAAATAGGTTTGGCGCAAAGATTGCACATGGGTACCATATAAAAAACCATAGCAAGCCCCACATCAAAATTTTCATGACAGCGATTTAGGAAGTCATTTTAGATCGCAACATTTCTACTGATGCCATTATTCTAGCCAATTTTCGGCAAAAACTGATGATG